AAAATAGTAGGTAAGACTGTAATGATGTCATCTGTGTGCATATTTCTGTAGATAATGTTTGTGTGTGATATATACAGTATTTACAATCTGTACTTTGCATGTAGATCACACAGACACGAGACTGTGATCACCAACCCCCATTGTGTGGGTGGGGTATGTGTGTGTAAAATTTATGTAGGCAAATTAATAGCATTTGAAGATTACAGACATTCTAAGGGTGAGCATTTTGGACAGTGGAAAGTTATATTTTTCTGACATTCTTTTTTAATTTGAAAAGTACCATATCCTTCACATTTTCTGATTTCATTAGAAAAGGCAAAGCAGTTCATGCTTTAATTCACCCACACCTTTTTTTTTTTTTTTTGTTCACTCTTTGCTTGAGGGTTTATATTTTTTTATTAATATTTGGCAATTAAATGACGATGAGTACCTGTTTGTCTGGTATGTGATAGACGTGTATTCCTTGCACGCATTTGTAAAAGAGGAACTTGAAATGATTTTTGCCTGAATGCAACTACGTTTGCTGTACAAATAATATAAATTAAATATTCTTAATTATTTTAGCTCATGCTAGAAAAGATTCAGGACAAAGGGGAGATTGATGTAGTGTGCCTTACAATGGCCCTACTGATTTCTCTACTGGCCCTTCCTCTGCACATGGTCAATTAGAATTGAAAATCCTGTGCTGATTTCATTCGCTGGAATTTTTAAGCAGGTCAGGAAGAAAGATGTTATTGAAAGGAAAAGTCTCATCTAAATAAGAAAAGAACACGTGGCCATCTGGTCTAACTGTACCATGCTGAAAGTCATTTTGGCTCAGCCGTAGTTTGAGCTTTGCAACAGTTTGCCAAAATATCAAACAGAAATCTGTTTACATTAAAACACTCTGTGCTTTTTATCTATAAAAACCCAACGAGCAGTTCTCTTCCTATCTGTAATACGTGAGCTCATTTGACCCTGTTACCTTATTGAGACTGCCTATGTTTCTGGTAAGCTCTCAAGTTACTTTTGCTGTGTAAAGGTATAAGTGAAACAACTAATCTTTTCAAAGTTTTGGAAGTAATCCTGAGCACTTTATTCTTATGACTGAAACTTGTGCTTCTGCTTGAACTAGGAAAGGCTCAAACAATCAGATGCAGCAGAGGAAGCATGGAGGGGGAAGAGGTGAGAGGAGAGTTCAAAAAAAGAAATTAGAACTTATAGTTTGTGTGAGTAGCACCATGGAGTTTGCACAACCAATTGGAGGCCACAAGCTAAGAGATGAGCTGTAACAGACATCAGATTTTTAAGGAATGGAGTCACAAATATGCATGAGCTTGGATGATTGCTTTGTTTCAACATCAACTATTTAAAAGTTTAAAGAAGTCAGCAAAAAACCACAGGTCTGAATTTTACACATTTAGGTAAATAGACTCTTTGTGCAAAAAGCTAAAACACATAGCTCCAAGTCTCAGGTGCCTGGACAACAGCAGCTGGGGGATAATGCCATATTTGCAAAAAGGCTGGGCATTTGTATCTCCTACCTACTTTAATCAGAGCTGCTAAACACTCTGCATTCACAGAAACCAAGAAACCTTACTGGGAGTTGAACTAAACATGGAGACAAGGGCCCTGTATTCATATGCTCGGGTTTAATGCTTAACTCTTATGTGCCTAGACATTACTTGAGCATTGACAGACAATATGTAAATTGCTGGTTGAAATATCCCTTCTAATACTACAAGGTAGTGGGTAAATCACTTCTGAAGTTTAGAGGAGTTGTGTAGGATTTCAGTCTCTAGGAAATGGATAAAAATATGATTGCTTATTGTCATTACTTTAAGAAAACAAAAGTCAGCACTTCCAAATGTAGCTGTGGGCGTTATTTTGAAATACATTTGTGAAGCATAAGTGACAAGTTTTATTTTTTCAAGCATAATATGCCAGGAAAAGTGAAAAGGAAATCCACATGTTAATATTAGTGAACTTGTGTATATAGATACAGATGTATTTTGCAAGTGTGGACTTCTCTATATGACCATTGTGTTGAATCTGCTTGTATATTTCATATAAGGTATATGAAACATTCCTTCAGAAAAGTGTTAAATCCCTTGGTTTAAAAAAAAACAAAACAGGAATGCTAATTTGACCACAGCTCTCAATTAATTCACTTAATTTCTCTGAAATGTCTTTTCTAGAATCTTTACCTTGCCTGTGGATATTGTTGCCACTACATGCAACCTTTTGTTTGTATGTCTCTGCTGCTATTTGGAAAATAAGTTTTTTTAAAGACTAAATTTATGGGATATTTATGCTGTGTTCCTTTTTTAATAGTGTTTATTAACAATATTAAATAAAAAAGCTAAAAAAAAAATCCGATCTTTCTATTAAGATACCTGTTATTACGACTAAAATATAGTTTAAGCCTTTTCAGGAAGCAAATTAAAAGCAGTGTATGGGTGTTTAAAAACATATTTTAAGTCTTTTTCACACAAAGTCCTTACTGAAAAGCAAAAAATATTCATCATCTGTATTGTACCATAATTTGTACCAGAAGACAATGCAGTTCTAAAGAACTTTTAGAAAACAGGTTTGCGCTGAGTGGGTTTAAAAATTAAATAGAATAAATGCTTTGAATCTCCCTTTTCCCTGTATGTCTCTGCTAACCCCACCCATAGCCACACCAAACGGAGAGCAACTATTTTGGGGAGTACTGCATTCCCAAGCCCAACTTTCTGGCACGATGACACTGGGCCAGTCGTCGCTCCTTTGGGCTGTGGCAACAGGAAGGCCAGGGGCGGCAAGGCCAGCTAACTAGTCCCTTGCCATGCACCCCTTCTTTGGTTTGAAGCCAACCTACTTGCAAAGCATTTCGCTACTGCCTTGTATAAAACTGCCACAAAACTGTCTAGGAGATCTCGCTAATCTCTCTAAACCCAAACATGTCCAAGTGTTCCAGTTGGACTGCCTTTCACATGTAGGTCTTTGCACACTAGCTGTTTGCCTTTATGTAGTATATTGTATGCATATACAAAATCTTTGCATAGTATTCGGGAGCTATACGGCAATTAGAGTAATGCATGAACTTTACATAAAATACTGCATTGACTGTAAAGCTAGAGTAGAAACCACTGTGAAATAGGAAACAGCGGATGCCCCTAGTTACACTCTGTTGGAAAGTGTGTGCACATATGCGCATGTTTTTTACAATAACATGCATTTACAAAGTTTCTTATTTCGTATTTTTTGCGAATCACAATGAAGTTGAAACTGAGCCTGGCCGACATAAGGAGGAAAGGCTTGTGTTTGTCTTTAATCTTTCTGCAGCACGGCTCAGACTTCTGTCTGATCTGCACATAGCAGAGCAAGGGGCTTGCCGTGCATTGCGTGCAGGCTCCTTGATTGTGGTGGGGAAAAAAAAAATCTGGCTGGAATCCAGACAGGCGAGCGCAGTGCTCTGTTGATCATTGTGTCTAGCCTTCAGGTGTCTCAGCTCACAGTGGGCGGTGGTTGGGGGAGGGGGAGATAACAGGAGGGCAGACAAAGAATAAAATGGTGTATTTAAAAAAAAAAAAAATCATATGTAAAAAATTCATGTAAAATCTTTTTTTTTAAAAAATGCTTTTTTTAACGTTCCTTTCCCCACAGTGGGAGCAAGCAAACATCTGTCCAGGAAGATTTATTTAAGCTATAATTAGTAGCGTCTGGAGTCTTTCAACAATTTCTCCTTATTGCACTTAATTTTTTTTTTTTTTTTAAGAAGTCTGCTCATCTTTCACTTAGAAACTGTTTTCACTTCATGCTTTATTAGAGAACTAGTCCAGCCAGGACTGAGTCAGATTTCTATTGTCTTTGCTTTTTCCCTTCTGAGCATAGTTTTCAGAATCTAACTTTTGGGGGGGGGGGGGGGGGATAGGAAGGAGCATGCAGGCAGCGGGGAAGGATCTTATTAAAGCTCTTATGAACATGTGGAGGTAAGGAGAAAAAAAAGAAAAAAAAAAAAAGCAACCAAAATACAAATTAGTGCTTCTTCTTATACAGTTATCCATTTGAGTTCAATTTCTTTTCCGGAGAAGAAATAAAAGCTCTGCTTTGTCTGTTGCTTCTGTTTGAGAACTCTCATAAATCTTGCCCAGAAAGCAACTTGGGCTTAAGGAGATCTGGACAGCAAAGCTCTGGGAAGCAATTGCAATGTCTCTTGCTACGGATATTCTCTTCTTTCTGCCCCCTCCGTCCCCACTGCCCCCTCCACCCCAACCTTCTGACGTTATGCTGTGAAAAGCCCCACAGCCTTTCCCACCCCACCAGGAATCTGAGTGAATACAAGCTGCAATTTAGAGGTAGTTAAAGTCACTTATCAAAAAGCCTCCCCTTGTGCTAAGTGAGTCCAGATATTATACTAGTTGTGTGTTTTCAGTCCAGCCATAACCCTTTTCTAACACTCCCCCCCCCGTTGGCTCGCCTCTCCCCCTCCCCCCGTGAAAGGGGTGGGATGGGAACCTTGCTCGACTTCATTGTTCCAAATGTAAGAGCTATTTGCCCCAAAGTGTCTTCACTGTCTTTCATAGCTAATTATAATAACTGTCAGATGTCTGGAAAGTCTGGGCTGCCCTTGCTGGCGGAGTTAAAGTTTGCCTTTATTTTCTCCCCTTGGGGACAGATCAGGCCTGATTAGACACAGAGTACAAATAAAAGTGAACAACATACGTGTGTAGGGCTTTTTGTCTTTGTTTTTCTTTATGAACAAAGCAGCACGCTGGCTATGTCAGGAAGCAGTGTGGCATGCAGCATGCATGCAGGCACTGCCCTGGAGGATAACTCTTTTTTTTTTTTCCTTTCTTCTTTTTCTTTTTTTCTTTATTGAAGCGAGCAAGAAATATTTCTGAATTTGAATAGCCCTTTAGATATCTGTTCATCTCGTAGGGAAAAGTAACCATTAATTTAATGTATGTAGCATTTTGACAATTTTAAGAGATTTGCTTTTCTGGGTGAAAATAAAAATAAATAGACCCTGTACTCACAGTTTTGTTGTGCTGTGCAGGTCGCTGTCTCCTCCTGCAGAGACAAGGAGGGTCGGAGGATGTCAAGGGTGCAGAATCCCAGTTTAAATCAGGAGAAATGTACAACTGTGCTTCCTGAAGTCGCCTGGAAGTCAGCCACTTGTGCTCAGACATCCCATTGCTGCTCTGCATGCTATACTATCTGCAGTTCTGAATTGAACTAAATACTGCCCATGTGAAAGACAGGGGAAACACAGTCATGTGGGACACACAAATCCACTCTATTGGCTCCGAAGGCACAACTTCAGCATTCTTGCATTTCCACCATTGGTTAACAGTTCAAGCTGCAAGAGTCTAGGTCCTCCTAGTGAGTCCGTTTTCCCTTTATGTGTGGAAGAATGACTGTAGGATTTTACAGTGACAGGATTAGTTAAGAAAGGGACTGAAGTCATCTCTTTGACTGAAGCTGGTGGGTGGGGATTGGAAGCTGTGCTTTTCTCAAGTCGACGTTTTTCCTTTTTCTGCCTGCGTTCTGTGTGTCAGGAAACGCTTGCAGTTACTTGGGCAGCACAGAGAAACTGAAGTGACTTTCTTTGGGTTCAGGGATAGGGACTTGACTTTTAGAGTAATGCATAGTTACAGACCGTACAATTATTTTTATGGGAATAACTATATTCTGGCTGGCTAAAATGCAGTTATTTTGTCTTTTCTAGAATTTTTTAAGCCCAGAAAAGACTATATCAGGATCCACCTAACTAGAGCTTTTGTGTCACATAAGCCAGACGAATTCAGCAGTTCCAAATCCTAGACTAATAATTCAAGTGACAACAGAAAATAGATTTTATATAACTATTGGATCTAGTCATAATAATATTTTGAAAGAAGCAACACATTTTATATAATATATAATTGCTGATATTTGGTCATTTTTAAAATAATGAAACTATAAAAATTAAGTAGAAGGGAAGAAGATTGACTATTCCCTATTTTGGTGTTCTGTCATTTGCCTGATCTAGTTATGCCAGCATAAGCAGTAATTTGAAACGGTACGCGGTCATGTGCGGCATACTTCTCCAATTAACCCTTGTTAAAAAGACCTTTCCCAAATCCCACATGCATGTTTTCCTAGAACCACAGAAAGTAGAGGTATGACAGATTTGTCAGGGTTTGTGTCCATCCTCCTCTCTGGGCAGGTTTATTTCCTCTTCTGTGTTTCCAGGGCATTGTCTAGTGTAGCTCTAAATACTCTGGACATGTGGCTCCTGTTGGTGGACTGTTGAATTTAGGGCCTAATTTAGCAGTTGAAGGGCTTAACTATACTTGGAAATTTACCAGAATATTTATTCTGGAATAGTAAATTCATTATGTGCCTGTGGTGCATGCAAGGCCAAGCACAGAGAGACTGTACTGCTAGCATTTGTATTTCATACAAGCTCGTATTCAGCAACTTACGCCTGGCTCTGGTTGTCAGGACATCTTTTTGTTTCTACCAGTCAAGCTTGTTCAGACCACCTTAAAACAATGCTTCTTCCTCTTTAGAATTCACCCTCTTAAGCTATTTATAGAATTTTATCATCACCTCACTGACCACCCTTGTCATCACTTAGCTGAACACCATATTCCAGGTGTAGCTGCGTAAGATATGGGAACATTCCTCTGTAGCCTGTGACCTGGTATTGCTGCAGCAAATCAATATGTGTTTGCTTTATATGTGAACAGGAAAAATATATATCTTAAAAATATAATTACACAGCTGACAAACAGGATTTCAAAGAAAATGAATATACTACATGTTCTACTCTGAGTTAAGAAGGCGGCCTTACAGGCCTTCTTTGCCTGTAAGTGCTAAGAAGATGAGGAACATTTATTTTTCTTTAGCGGGCTCACTTTTAAAGTTTAGTAATAATATATAAAAAGGGGGTTTGGTTTTGTTGTTCGGTTTTTTAATCTTTATGAAGAAAGGTAATTGTCTGGTTTGAATAAAATAAGGCTACAGCAGTAGCATCAAAACTTTCTCTCTTCACTCCAAAAACGTTTTAAACTCCACTGGGCTTTCCACATCTGGACTCCAGAACACTGAAGGGAGAGAACTGAAAACCCTGGGAGACATTTTCTTTTTTTCGCAGCACTGGTGGTCTTCATAATTTTGGTTACTTTTTTTGTTGTTGTTTAATTCAATTAAACTGGGAAGAAATACTAATAAAAGAAACCTTACTCCAGAGAGCAGTAAACTCTTTGGTTTTAAGACCAGTACATGGTCGTGTCTTAAATACATCTTTTTCATGAATGTCAGTTTCTGATTTTAAAATGCTGAAAAGCTATTTAAAGAGAGGGAATAAACATCTGAGTTCATTTAGTATTGTTTAGCTCTTTCCTCAAACAAATCATGAATGAATTTCAGGAAAATTTAGGAAATCTGGAGCAATGATTGAGCCATGAATCAAAGACTTAGGTGATACAAGCAGACATTTTTGTGATCCTTATAGTGGTTCAGAGACCAAATTAATACTTAGCATCACTGTTGTCTGTATAGAGAGAAGTAAGTGCATCTTTACATGTATTCATGTATTGCAATGGACATCTTATTTGCCATAACAACTCTGTTGAAAAGAAAAAACGAAGACTTAGGCTACATCATGTTCACTCTCCTTGAATAACAAACTACTGCTTTCTCCATTATTGGTTGCTAGCAAAGAATTCATAACCGTAAGGGACAAAGAGTGAGCGCATCATAAAATTACCGCAGTGTGGAAAATAACATTCCTTTGCAAATTCTATCTTGACGCGTAAGACAGGAAACAAGATGATGCTGTACGAACAGGGCTGTCGGAGTCTGGAGACCTTGCTGTTACCGCTGTGTGGTTCACTGTGTCTCCATCCATTGACAGAATAGACTTTTATTTCTGGTTTTGGGTTAAGATTTTTTGGGTTTGGGGCTTTTTTCCATGATCTAGCAAAGACTGGTAAAGACGCTTTAGCTCCTACCTAATAAAGGTCCTGTTACTAAGAATTTTTACTGTCCCCTGGCCAGGAACTCTAGGAAACAAAAGGGATGACTGAAGTTAGTTAGAAACGGTAGTCACTAAAATAGCTCTTCTTCGTTCTTTGGTATTTTTAGAGAGCATTGTAGCCTGAGGGGGAAAAAGTAAGATGGCCTTAATCCTCTCTTATGGGGTGCATTCGCAAACAACTTTACAAAACAGCTAAATATTTGCTCTTTGTGTAAATCTAAGCTAAATAACTATTTGGGGGGAAGAGGAGATTGGCTCCATGGCTTCTTTTTAGGAACACATGTTACATTTAGAAAGGCAAATATCCAAAAAATCAGATAAATTTCTTTCAGAAACACTTACAGTAAAGGCACACAGGCAGTTTGTGTGTTGATGTGTTATACTACATAAATGGATACTTCTGAAAACATTTTGACTGCTTCCTTAGAAAATCAAATGCAATTCTATTGTGTGTATGATGTAGATTTCATGTTGCCCAGCACTTTAAACTTACCATTTTTCTTTCTGTGGAAAATAATTGAATTTTACTGTATAGACTGTATTTGCTTGAAACTTTGCCAGAGAATTCTTGCTGTTCTATACACCTTTGCTTTTTATATTTCAGCAGTAGGTGGTATCTGCTAAAGTTTAAATCTTATATTAGTCACTGCTAGTAAAATCCCTCAATGTTGGAAATGTATAAGAAAATAAGAAATCAGTCAAAAACCCCAGGAGATACTGGAGAAGCTGGAAAAAGCCAGAGAAGAAGTAAAGTCACTGAAAATCTCTGAGGGTGGGCAGGTGGACAAAGGGCACCCAAAAAGCCATTTCACAGAGAAGAATTACCAGAGCCTGGAAACTTGCACATCACTTGCCTTGTGTGTGTGTATTCTAGAAATGGTTTTATTCCCTAGTTAAGAAAAGACTTAAGCTAACACAAGGAGTTTTTCAAATGTATCTGGTACAGGAGGGCTGTGAACGAAGGTTTGTTCTCATCTCCTGCACCAGGAGGGGTGAAGCCAGCTGAAATGCTGTCTGAGCAAGTCATCTGTGCTGTACATGAACCACCTGGCCAGGTTGCAGTATCTACCATTTACCTAAAGAAAAATCAACAGTAAAACAGTTAATATCGAGCTGATTTTGTGGGGCTTTTTGGGTTTATGTTTTGTTTTGTTTGTGTGTTTTTTTTTTTTTTTCCAACTGAGTCTTTCTCATTCCTCGGTCTCCTCTATTTACGTAGATAAAGTGAATGAAACCACATGAGATAACTGCAAAGATTTTCAGCAGGCAGAGAGGAAGCTGGTATCCCATTACTAGTGAAAGTCAGAAGAAATTGTTCCTGTTTTCTCTGCAGGCCATATTTCTCTTTAGGGTCAAGTTTTGGTGGATAGTTTAGATAATCTGGCTGCAATTTAACCACTACAAAAACCATCTCATATTCAGTAGGTTCTTTCCCTATATGTACTGAAATTCACGCATACTTTGAGCTACTAGTTGTCTTGTATTTATAAACCTGATTTTGGTTACAGGACTGTTGGTAAGAAATTCAGATCTGATCAATTTATTCAGATGAACTGATAACATTAGCTTAAAATCCCGGTTTTACTAATTGATTTGAAAATTTTTACATGTTTATACAAATGAAAATTAAAATAATCTGTTAACAACTGTATTTGTAGGTGAAAATTCCTAGACAAATGTAATGCAAACAGTGGATCGGTAACTGAAATATAGTTTAGATGAAATGGAGTGCTACAAATGTTTTAAAGCTTGGCTATATTTAGTGTGGCATAGAATTATGATGTCCAGAAAGATTCCATCAACAAAACTAGAACCAGCCATGCTTTTAAGATTATATGCCTCAAATTTAAAATATATAAAATCCCGTGCAACCATTAAGGTACCATTGAAATGAAAGATACTTGAACAATTTTTATACTGCTTCTGCATATTCTAGAAAGTCTGATTTCTTTTAAATGATTTTTTTTTTTTCCTTGGGTTATTTCCTTAATTTTTGTTGAATCTTCCTATTTTTATTTCTTTTTTTTTGGTCACTTGTTCCCATAACTCCTTTCAGTATAAACAAATTATTGTCCCTGAAGTACACAGGCCTGAAACTCAGCTGGCTCAATTTTCACCAATAAAATGGAGGACTTTGTAGGGGCAGTCTGACTTGGTGACCATAACAGGTCTTTTTCCTTCAGACTACATTAAACAAGGTTACATGGCTGCTTCTGGTTTCAGGTAAATTCTTTCAACTCCAATGTAACACATAATAATATGTAAATATAGATATTTTCTAGATTATCTATTAAACTAATGTTTCCTTCTAGAAGTCTGCAACTGGCACTTTATATTCTATTTTTTTTCTGCTGTAAGA